CAAGTTATCTTGTATTTCCTTCAACTACTTTACAGCCGTTAAAAGAATTCATGATCCCAACAATTTTTATACTAGGCAGCAAATCAACCAAATACAAAAATCATTTAACTCTTAAAGACTTCATTTCTTCTAATATTGTCTTGGTTTTTTTTTCTTCTTTTTTTTAATTTAACCCATGTGAAATCTTCTATCGTAGGATCTTCATTGTCAAGTGGTATATCTATATTAATGCATTTCTGAAATCTGAAGTATTCAACTAAGTGCATGCATTGTTGATCCTCTAAATCAAGCTCCCTATGATCTAATCAAGCCCATTTTGAGTTGATTCTATTCAAACTTAGCTCACAACATCCTCAACAGAGAAAGCACAACTGTAGTAGTTATGTTGTGATGCTATAGACTCGGTCATATAGTTTAAGGAATTGAATGTTTTTAGTAAAATTGTGACACCTGTATTCTTTAAAAATCCATCCTTCAGTAAGACTATATAAATGCCTACCCTCTATTTCAATGCATTTCTGAAATCTGAAGTATTCAACTAAGTGCACACATTGTTGATCCTCTAAATCAAGCTTCTTAGGATCTAATCAAGCCCATTTTAAGTTGATTCTATTCAAACTTCGCTCACACCATCCTTAACAGAGAAAGCACAACTATAGTAGCTATGTTGTGATGCGATAGATTTAGTCATTTAATCTAAGGAATTGAATGTTTTTAGTAAATTTGTGACACATGTATTCTTTAAAAATCTATCCTTCATGAAGACCACATCCCAAAACTCCTACTCAATGATGGTTTTTTTTCTCCCTCTTCACTGACGAAGAAATATAACCTTCCAATATCAGGGTATCTAACAAACAAACACTTCCTGTCTTTACGATTCAAGTTTTCAAATTTGTCTCCTAGAGCATAAAATTTAGGGTTTGTTTCGGGCAGCTATAGCTATGGCAGGAAGCTGTTGCGCAGAAGCCGTTCCGGATAAGCTGATTGTCTGTTTAATTTTTGCAGTTTGAAAATAATTGTCTGTACAACTATCTCATGTATGTGGTTGCAGCGAAATAAGCAGAGAACATTGTAGTCCGCAATAACAATGTATTTCTCAGAAGGTACCGGAAATCCTAGAGCTCATCTTTACTACTTAAAAACACATACTCTTAGAAATAACACTAGTAAAAATTAATAACATAAGTAATTAATTAAAATTTTATGCAGTTGTGAAGTCTCAGAGAACTCAGTATATAAACCAACGAATTTTTCACTACAATAATACAATAGACCTTATAAAAAAAGAGTTATTGATTGCCTTAACCCACATAATACCAAGTTCGTATGTATCACATATACATATCATAAAAAAAACGATTTAGAATAACCTCAAAAATCATAGCACTTAAAAAAGAGAGGAAATTAATTGTCTTCATAAGAATTTCACATGTGACACCAACCAATAGGGGCATACAAGTCATCCAGAAGAACTCATAAGGTCAAATGTCTTATCATAGACCTCCAAAACCCACCAAATTAAGACATGCAATATTCAAGATACCTAAATTATATACATGACTTGCATAAAAAACGGATACAATAAATAGTGAATGTTTTCAACAAACATTACAATAAACAAAAATAAAAACTAATATTCCCTCCAATCACCCTCCAATTATAGCATATGTAATTCATTCCCTCAACTTTGTTATCTTGCTTGCACCTTCCTCATCATGAGTGTTGATGACAGACGCAATATTTTTGACCTGTGACAAAGACTGTCCAATACGATATTCATATGTCTCAACAGAACATGTGAATGATCCTCATCCATCATACAGAAATCAATGTTGTTCCAAATAGTCCTCTTATAATTCTAAATGATTGCAAGTGCAATCAACACCGCAACAGGAACGGAATAGAACAAACACAAAACCATATTCTCATGCATTTCCTTTTCCAATTATTTGCCTTTTTTTTAATTATCACTGCGAAGACAAGATTCACCAGAAAACCAAATCCACATATTGCACCCGAAACATTGTTTTCTGCAAAAATCCCAACCAGTATTCACATTCAAAAAGAATAACAACTGAACAGATCAAAGTCAGAGCAAAATCTCAATTGCTATGGATGTTAGATATGTAACTATCTCGGAATGAAAAATGAAAGTGCAAGGCATAGGGTATGTTCAGACCAAAGCTCACAAACTGCAGAAGAAAAGGCAGAGAATACCAAAATCCAAAATCTACCCCCATATTTCAAAGTCACTGTACATGGAATTCCAAACAGAGCACAGAAAACCAAATCCCAAAATCCAACATCAACCGAAAGGCATTGCACATATGCATTTCGAAAATCAAAAACCACAATATAGTAAGATAGAGAATATCGAAACATGGACAAAGCCAAACCTCAAAAACCACCGCACTGAGGGCGGAGACAATGATCCAAACAAAGTCGAAGAATAAATAGATGAGAGGGAGAGGGAAACTCAACGCAACGATTCCAGGGATGCCAATGAGAAAGAGGCAGGAGGCAGCACGTTACACCTTCCAATCACGAGAGAGAGGGATTATGGCAAGAGTTGTGAGAGAGAAATGAGCACCATGGGATCGCGTGAGAGAGGGATTAGGGCAAGAGTCAAACCCGCGGCAGCGTTTAATCACAAATTTTTCAAAAACACCACCGCAGCACAACATCCAAACGCTCCTTACTGCATTTTTGCACCGCAACACAACTAAAAAACTACACCAAACCGATTGTTAGTTAACTCTTAGGATCACAAACTAGTTAGGTTTATAATCTCCTCATTTTTTGTTCTTATGGCATTGTTCGGATGGAATTAAATGGCATAAAAGGTAAATGGAGATTATCATAAACAAAACATCGCTTCCAAAAGAGATTGGTAAGTTCTTGAGTCACAATAGATCTGATAATGTTAAGCAATATTTTATTCCTTTTCTATGCAATGCCATCTTGCTAAGGAGTGTAAGAAAATTGTTAAATGGCTTGCAATAACTTTCACCTAACATCAGCTTATAAGCTATTTAAATACCTTCAGCATCAGCTGCTATAAGAGCTTTTAA